TCATATAAAAGGGAAAACTGTCTCTTCCAATGAAAGTCTTTAAGAAAGACGAAAAAGAAACTATGCTTGAAAACTTTTGTGTTTGGATGAGAGCCTTAGTGCTCTCAAGGTTAGTCAAGGTCATTGAGAGTTTTCTTGTTAACCCTGAATCCTCACAAACCTGAGCAGTATTTGGGGATCATTAGTGCTCAGTCAAGATTTACTTGGGTATAAACATTTTAACTATCATTGTGAATACAATTTTAGAGAACAATATGTAGTATCTTAATTTTTGCCATTCAATTATATCTCAAAAGCTGATTCGAAGTGAAGCTTTGACATCTTACTTTTAACTATTCTCTAATTTAACTATATGGGTATTTCTTTCAGAGATTTTAGAAAATCCTAACAGAGCTTGCAAATTATACTAGTTGAAGTTTTTAATGATCTATTGATTATTTTAGACACTTCCTGCAGTTTATTTTTAAAATTTTCAGCTGCTTTATTGTATTGAAATAGGTAGACAAGAATAGTATTATGTAACACATAATTTGATAGGTTTTAAGATATATATACAACTGTAAAACCACTCAGAGTGGTTCTTATACATAGACTTTCAAATATCAATCCAGGAGTAATGTTACTAGAATGTCACCATAGATATCTACCTCAGTCCTTGGGAGAGAAGAATTCAGGAAAGATATGAACATTATGAAAGTGATAGCCAAATTCATTGGGAAATGAATGCACTTTCAATTTACTGAAAGTGGGTTACTTTTATTGGTGAGAATTATACTGATTTTTAACCCAGCACAAATTTTTATTGAAATATTAGGAGCTTGGAGTAGCAAATCCCTCTCCAGGACTAGGTCATGGACTGAATTTCTGTCCCAAGATTTGGAGAGCTTTACTGAATTACACTTGAACTCTAGGGAATAGTTTACTGGCCTGGGAAGGTATGTTAAAGATCTATTATTTCAGAATTATTCTCTGAACTGCTTAATGTTGGAATGAAGCCTATTAATCCTTATAAATACTCAAAAAAAGCCTGTTGTGACATTCCATGACTTTTGTGGGTATTTAGGCTAGTTGGAAAGTTTACTGAGAATGTTGTCAGAGACCTTGTGAACCTACTCTCCTTTTTGTTTCCTTTACATTTCCTCTTTGCTCATAGAATAGTTAGCATCCAAGATTATTTAGCTTTCTTATATAGAAGACATGATTTTATATATTATATTATACATTTCTAAGTCACTGCATAGATGCTCAGATGTTGTTCATTATAGTATAGTTTCATGATCCAATTCTTCTTAAAAAGGAAATTCTAGCCAGGCACAGGGGCTCATGCTTGGAATCCTTGCTACTCAGGAGGCTGAGATCTGAGGCTCACTTTTTGAAATCAGCCTGGTCAGGAAACCAGAAGTGATGCTGTGGCTCAAAGTGATAGAGTGCTAGCCTTTAGCAGGAGAGCTCAGGGACAGCGCCCAGGCCCTGAGTTCAAGTCCCATAACTGATCATTTTAAAAAAGAAAAGAAAAATACTGTAGAAAACAATAGACAGTTTATTGACTTCAGTTTCGTGGATGCTTTTGTTATTAATTAGAGAGTTAATACAGCTAGACAGTGAGTCAAAGCACCTGTCTCTACTTCACAGCAAATTCAGGCAAGATGTGAAATATAGAAAAGTAGTGACAGTAAAGTTTCTTAAGAAAGGAACATACTTTTTTGAGAGACTGAAAGTGGATTGTCTCTAGTGTGAGAACAATTACTTTATCCTGGCATAGGTTTTTATTGAAGTTTAAGAAGCTTGGAGCCATAAGTCTCTCCTGAGGACCTACCCATGGGACAAAACCACTGTTAAGTGACATATTTTTCTTGGCTAAGGCATCCCCTAAGTTCAAGGGAGTTTTACTGAATTACATTTGACCTGTAGGGCATGGATTACAGGACTGAATAAGTGAAAGAACTAGTGTTCCAGGAAGTATTTCCTTTTGACCCACAATAGGCTGAAATGAAGCTTTTAGTTTTTAGTTCTCTGCGTGAGGGACTCAGAAACAACTTTTGACATCCCATGACCTTGGAGGGTTATTTTGATCTTAGCTAAGGTTATTTTCCTTTAAGTTGGAAAGTTTAATTACAGGGTTTTCTTGCTGAGATTAATCTTCTTTTGCATTTCTCCTTTGTGGTTAACTGCCAGTCATCTCTCTCTCTCTCTCTCTATCTATCTATCTCTCTCTCTATCTCTCTCTCTCTCTCTCTCTCTGCATACACACACACACACACACACACACACACACACACAAATTTGGTGTCTGTGCCAATAGTGGGGCTTAAAAAATTAGGCCTGAGGACTGTTTCTTAGCTTTTTCACTCAAGGCTATTGCTCTACCACTTAAACCACAGCTCCACTTTCAGCATTTTGCTGGTTAATTGGAGATAAGAGTATCAGCATCTTTCTTGACTGGGCTGGCTTCAAATCTCAAACCTCAGATCTCAACCTAGCCAGGATTACAGGCATGAGCCACAGATGTCTGCCTTCTTTTATAGTTTTAATGTTTGATAGCACTGGGATTTGAACTCAAGGCTTTCTTCTTGCAAGACAAGTAGTCTACCACACATCTAACCCATTTTGTTTTGGGTTATCAAATAAGGTCTCCTCTTCTTACCCAGGACTGATCTCAGTCCTCTATCCTCCTTCCTAAGCTTCTTGCACAGCTCACTGTGACAGATATGAAGTACCACATATAGCTTGTTGGTGAGATGGGATCTTACTTTCTGCCTGAGCTGCCCTGAAGTGGTAACCATCCTGGTCACTGCCCCCCCCCCCCGTGTAATTGGCATATCCCACCACTCCTAGATGCAATGAGTTCTTCTTTCAGAATGCAAATGTCATCCTCTGATAATAAATACAATTGACTTTTTTCTTGGTATACATTATATTTTTAAATCACTTTATATTTGGCTTAGTAAAGGGGGCAAAGGAAAGAAATATAATTCTATACCTTAGAAAATTTCTGAAATAGTCTCTCACCTCAAAAGAGATTTTTGGCAAATGTGGTAATATGAAAAGCCAAAAATTGGAGCCATTTGCTTGATAAATGCAACACGGAAGGCAAAGGCAGGCATTTTTTACAAAGATAAATATGAATTGTTTTAGGGTAGCAACAATTATGCTCTGACACATAAGAAACCCTCTGTTCCCTTTGTAGTAAAAGGTAGTGATACTAACTTTCTCTTCTTGGGAGTAGTTTAGTAATCTGAAACTATTAGCTATATGCTGTAAGTGTTCTTACTTAATTTGATTCCAGAATAGAACGTTCTTGTTAACTATGAAATGTTAGCTTATATGCAAATTATTGGTCAGCTAGAAATATGAGTCTAACAAACATGTTCAACTATGCTAAGAGTACGTGTTGAATTTTTCTTATATAAACATCATTGTATCATAAAACAGTAGTCAAACAAAAATTATTATTCTTTTCAGAATCATTACTTCTGTTTACCTTCAAGTTTATGACTATCTTTTTACAGAGGTAAAAAGCATAGCTGGGCATCGGTGGCTCATGCCTGTGACTCTAGCTACTTAGGAGGCTGAGATCTGAGGATCATGGTTAGAAGCCAGCCAAGGCAGGAAAGTCCATGAGACTCTTATCTCCAGATAACCACCAGAAAACCATAAGTGATGCTGTAGCTCAAGTGGTAGAGCGCTTGCCTTGAGGTGAAGAGCTCAGGGACAGCGCCCAGGCCCAGAGTTCAAGCCCCACAAGCAACAGAAAAATAAAAGCATAGTTAATTTTTCACACAAGAGAATTGTGTTCTTTTTGCAAGTATTACTGTGTGCATTTACTATATATCAAACTTACTATATTGTGTTCTCTTCGCATTTGCTCAGCAAATATTGAAATTATTTGGCTTCTTACTATTTTGGCTAATGAAAAAGTTTATTCATATATACATATAAATAATATATACACAAATATATATACCATCTTTGAATATTTTATTAGGATAAATAAAAAGTGAAATCACAGGGTCAATAGGAAATGTATGTCACCTGGTATCTATTGTCAAATTGTTCTAAGTTTGTTCCCATAGATAATACATGCATGTGTAAAAACTTTGACAGTCTTTCCAGCTTTGATTATTTTTGTTAATTAAATGGGTATCAAATGAACTTCCTGGTTTAATACATTTTTCTCTAAAATGTTATTTTTTTCTGATTTAAATTCTTCTTATTTCTCTGTCCCTATATTATTGACATAATCCACCATATTGGATTTGTATCACTGTCTTTATAATTAAATTTTAGCTCAATAATTAGAATCCACCTATCTACAAAAGAATTGGATAGAAGTTCCTGGTGACATGAGTCCATTTATATCTGCCATAAATAAATGGCTTATTTGGTAACACCAAAACCAAAAAAGACCATGAGTGACTTGATTTAACAAGCAAAGTTCTTATACTCTGACTTTGACTCTCATATTAAAGTATGGCGTTTTCAAAATATGATGTTTCAAAAATGTCCTATGTTTTAGCACTACTGTCCTTTTGTTGTTCAGTATTTTCTGTTTGCAGGTTTAGTTGAGTGCCAGTAGATGGCACTAATTACATAAACAATTCAACAAGTTAATGAAGAGGGGAGAGATGAATGAACTTTCCTTGATTCAAATTTTGTTATATCACATACTCAACAATTATATATGAGCTTGTTTTTATAGTTTGTTTTCTCTTGTGATAAAAACAATCAAGCTCTCTCTACTTCCAATTAATTTGACTAAATTGAAGTACCTGATTCTGATTATTCCTCAAGATGCTGCATTGGCATTTTTGTCAAGAAAAATGAGTGTTTATACTGTCATGGTTGACTAAATCACATGGTAGGTTGAAAAACAAGCATGTAGACATGTAGTGACCTGAGGTTTTTGTGCTTATTTATGTATATTTGAAGAAACTCCAATAGAGATTTCTGGGAGAGAAAAAAATAACTGATATCATTCTCTTTCTTATACACATTTGTAGCAGTTGACCAAAGACCTCCGCCAGTGGCAGATAAATGTAGATGTGGCAAATGACTTGGCACTGAAACTTCTTCGGGATTATTCTGCAGATGATACCAGAAAAGTACACATGATAACGGAGAATATTAATGCCTCTTGGGGAAACATTCACAAGAGGTAAGAACCATATGATTTCTAAAACCATTTAGCTATATATTCAAGGATTGGTGATACTTGTTGGAGAGTATACATTTGTTTCCCAGTAATGTCAAACTGGAGTTTGGGGCAATCCCAGATGATAAAATGTAAACTCGCCTCACAGGTTTCGATCCCTCTCCTGTTTTAATGATGAGAAACTTGAAGGCTAGTAAAATGAAATTATTTGCCCACCATCCAAAGGCACGAATATAAACAAGATATTAAAGTAAAACAAAATACTGATTTGTAGCTAGACTAGCTATTTTTTCTTCTGCTCTAAGATCTGCATCTAAAGAAGGACATTTCTATACCATCATGCTACTTGCTGCTACATATTTAATTGAAAGAAGTCACTTTCAGTTTCATAATAGAGTTATAGCAGCAATGATACCATCATTGCATTTCTTGCTGTATACTCAGTGGGAAAATCCACACAGGATAATATGATCCATGACTTCATTTCCCATTGTATAGCTATGGAAATTGTGTTAATCAGTTTTTCACCACTGTGACAAATACCTGAAATAGTTTAAAGGGGGGAAGAATTTGGCTTACACTTTCAAAAGCCCCAGGCCATGAACACTTTAGCTCTTTTGTTTCTGGGCTGTGGTAAGTCAGAAGTCATGGTTGACAACACCATGGTAATGCAAAATGGTTCATGCCATGGTGTCCAGGAAGCAGAGGGAAATAGAAGAAGAGGCCAGGGACAAAATATCCTTCCTGGACATGCATTCGGTTACATACTTCCTCTATCTAGGTCCCGCCTCTAAAAGTGTGCAACACCTCTCAAATATGCCATCAACTTTTGAATCTATGTGTAGATAAATTCTTTGTTAGAATCAAAGCCCTCATGATACAATTAGCCCTCAAGGATTGCATCCACTGTCTGGAAAACAAAGACTTCAACATTTTGAGCCATTTGGAGAATATTTCCTATCCAAACTATAACACAAATTACAAGCTAGTAGAGACATTGTCTTCTCAAATCCCATCTTTTAATTCCATTTGCTTTTCTTACATACATTACTACATACCCAATTTTAGTTATAAATATGAACTAGTTGTTTCTTATTTGTCTTATAAATTGGCCTAAGCTCCATGGAAACAGACCTTTTGTGACAGACCTCCCATTCTATTTGCCCAGAAAGCTCATAAATAGTTGGTAGATAGTGAATGCCTTTGCATGGTGTGAATATCTTTGCATGTCGTGTGCATGCTATTGTAAGCTATGGATAGTTCAGTTCATATTACAACTTGTATCATTAAACAGTGGGAACACAGTGCCTGTACAGTGATGGGGGAGACCAATGTAAACATTGACTTCTACAAGATGACACAAATTGCTGAAAAAGCCTATTAAGTGGTCTTCACTTGCAGGGGGGGGGGAGAGGGGTTGGGGGAGTGGGGGGGAGGCTGGGAAGGGATGTGAAGGGTAAACAAAGGAGGAGGCTGCAATGCTTGATAAGAAATGTACTCATTATCTTGCCCATGTAATTGTAACCCTTCTGTACAGTATGTTCACAAAAAATTAAAATTAAAAAAATAAAAAAGAATAAAAACTAAAAAAAAAACAGATTTTAAACTATGAGGAGAAAATTTAAAAAGTATCCCAACTATTGACACATAAAAATTAGGAAACCAAGTAAACCTTGAAACCCAACTAGAGATGGAAGAATGTAAATTCTCATAAAGTATGAATTGATCTGGTGGCCTTGGAGAACATTTCACCTCTATCACTGAATTCCAGGCAGTGGATGGCCAAATGATCATGAATTTTAAAAATCATCCTAAATTGAGCTGGGCACCCATGGCTCATACCTCTAATCTGAGCTACTCAGGAGGCTGAGATCTGATGATCAGGGTTCAAAGCTAGCCCAGGCAAGAAAGTCTGTGATATTCTTGTCTCCTATAAACCACTAGAAAATCAGAAGTGGCACTGTGGCTCAAGCGGTAGAATGCTCACCTTGAACTGAAGAGCTGAGGGACAGTGCCCAGGCCCAGAATTCAAGCCCTACAGCTGACCAAAAAAAAAATCATCCTAAATTGGAGGAGTTATAATTTGGGCCTTATCCAAAGGAGAAAGGATAAATAGGAGATTCATATTTGGGAAAAATATTTTCTTTTTATAGTTCTGCCTCCTCTCTGTTTAGAAATTAGGCTCCAAATACACATGTGGAATTTACCCAGTTAAATAAGAGCCAATTAGACTTGGAAGAATAAGCCATATAAAATCACTTGGTAGCCTAAAGTCAATCATTAGATCACAGTGGCAAACACTGAGGTTTCTCAAACAGAAACCCCTTTGGGAAAATAATTAAGATCAAATATTAATTTAGTGTGTTTAGGGACTGTAAACTAAGAAGGAGCTGAGAAGAAAACTTGTTCATATTATAAAACTAGAGCCTCAGGGTATTGGTCTATTCTGTCTAAACTATGTGCTCGGACAGATCCCTCGGGTCTTTCAATTATTTTACTGATTTATGGATCCTTCATGGAAGCACTAAGGGCTTCATCTGTATAAAACCATCACCCAAGGAAAGCATGTAAGTTACTTTACCCAATTGAAAAAAGTCAGTTTGAACTTAGAAGACAGCTGATATTTTTAGCTGTTCCATACGGAATCTTCCATTCTCCAAGCTACTTTTGACTCATGCCTTTACAGTTTCTTCTGTACTTCTCTCAATTTATATATCCTCTGTGCAAAATTCATTCACTTGTATGTTTCTAGTACACTGTGAGTACACATCAATATTTTTCAGCTGACAATGCACTTTTGGGTGTTAGACCTATATAGCTTGCTACTTCCTTTCCGCTTGGATTAACCACAGGAACTTCAAATTGAATAGATACAAAGTTGAACTCATCTTTTTCCTCTGCCAACTTCCTTTCTTCCTCCAAATTACAACCAACTTCTCTTCCTGTGGTCCCAATTCAGTGAAAATCACCACAACCCATCCAGTTGTTCAGTTTGGAAAGCAAAGAGTCATGCTTGACTCTTTCTTCTGTACCTCCAATATCTAAGCTACAACAAAATTATTTACTATCTTACAACTTTCAAATCCACTCTCTTCTCTCCATCCTTACTCATCTACTCCTCTGCTTTTTTTCTTCTAGTCTTCTTGTTTTCCAACCTGTTCTCTTCAGAATCCAGAATGATCTGCCCAAATACATTAAATTCATGCAATCTCACATTTTAAAGCCATTAGTATCTTGTCCATTGCTCTTGGTTTGCAGGAGGGGCAGGGAGAGTTGTGAGCATCAAAACCAGGGCCCTGCACATGCTAGGTGATTACTAATAAGTTATGTCCCTAGCCCATATCCATTGCTTTTTAGAGACATTTAAAATAGTTTTAAGGTCTTTTGTGATATGGCCTTGCCTTGCAATTCTTTTCTCATTTCTTGTTGTCCTTGGAAGCTCCCTCTCATTCTCTCATTCATAATTAAGTAACAGTGAGTTTTCCCATTTCCTTTCAATGATTTTCTTTTCTGTTGTGTGCTGAAATGGTATATATTATTACCTCTCCTTTGCATCTTTAATTTTATTCATTATTGAGATCTCACTATAAATTGCCAGTTCCTCCAGGAAGCCTTCTGAACAAACTCTTTTTGTGCTCTTTCTGTTCCCTAGGGTAATGTTTGTCTCCTAGTCTATAGCTAAGTCTGTTGATCTTTGCCTCCTATGAGAGTATTGACTTTAAGGATATGTACACCTCGTGCTTACCTACAATTACATTACCTAGCACTTAGGTTGGAATATAGTAACAACCCTCAGAACTTTTTGTTTGAGTATTTTAATGAACAAATAAAAATGATTAATTGCCAGGTGCAGGTAGCTCACACCTGTAATCCTAGCCTCTCAAGAGGCTGAAATCTGAGGAATGAAATATAAAGCTAGACTGGGCAGGAAAGTCCATGAGATTCTTATCTCCAAATAATCACCTAAAAACCCAAAGTAGAGCTGTGGCTCAAAGTGGTAGAGGGCTAGCCTTGAGCAAAAGAGCTCAGAGACAGCTTCTAAGTTCAAGCCCCATGACTGACAGAAAATAAAAGACTAATTATAAGTATCTATTAAGGTTAGTTTCAGTTTCCAATAACTGGAAGGTTTTGGGTAGCTTATCAAAAAGGGTTTATTTGCCTCAAAAATGAGATACTCAGAGGCAGATGTTAGGTTTTTAAAGAGGAGGTGGCCGAGTAAGAACCACACCACACGTGGTATTCAGGTAAGGGGTAGGTTTATTCATCATTCTGGCTGGCACCAGGCCAGGTTGGCACTCCATGTGGCTGGGAAAGGCCTGGGAAAGAGGGCATCTCACCCTGGGCTAGGCCTTATCTAGGTTAGGGATAGGAGGGGGAAGGAGAAGTGGCCACATTGAATCCAGATGTGACCTCAGCAGAGGCAGATGTGACCTCTTCCAGGTGTGCCAGTTGCCTAGGTAATGCACGTACTGGGTGGAGACTTTGCTGCGAGGAGAGTGGAGTCTGCTAGCCATCCAGGAGCAGATCTTACAGTAGGCAGATGCTGGCATTGATTCAGTGGCCCAGAGGTCCCCATGTTCTTAGCATTTCCCTCAAAATATGTGCCTTCCAGCAAGAAAATAAGGAGAAGGGACAGTACTTGTATCAGGAAAATCAATGACTTTCTCAGAAACTTGAGAGCCAGAACTGTGCCTCATAATCCTCTTCCATGCAAAGAAGAATAGGGTGTGGTCATTTAATAGAGAATGCCTTTTACAAAGAGCATGGAAAAACAAATTAGCATGCTATAACTGGACTGCATTAACTTTTCAAAGAAATAACCACTGGAGTCATGGCCGGGTTCACTGTGATTGTAAGAATGATGGGCCATTTCAACTTGATTCCCTGCCCTGTGTAGAGATCCTAAGAAAAATTGGCTACTTATAATTTGCGTTAGGAATCCATACTCCATGTTTGCTATCTGCCCATTGTACAGATTAGCCTGTATTTTTTTATCTACAGCT